ATTAGTTACAGCATATAGTGCAGCTTGATTTCAGTAGATTCATGAGTGCTTGCCACCCGTTTAGCCCATCCCCCTCCCACAACCCCTCCCATAACCCTCAGTTTGTTCTCCATATTTATGAGTCTCTTCTGTTTTGCCCCCTCCCTGTTTTGTTATTTTTTGTTTCCCTTCCTTGTGTTCTGTCTGTTTTTGTCTCTTAAAGTCTCCTTATGGGTGAAGTCATATGATTTTGTTTTTCTCTGATAATTTCACTTAGCATAATAAGTTCCATCCATGTAATGGCTTGCAAATGGCAAGATTTCATTCTTTTTGATTGCCGAGTAATACTCCATTGTGTGTGTGTGTGTATGTGTGTATATATATATATATATATATATATATACTCTACATTTATTATCCATTCATCCCCTCGATGTCATTTGGGCCCCTTTCCATACTTTGGCTGACTATTGTTATAGTGCTGCTATAAACATGGGGTGCATGTGTCCCTCCAGTAACTAAAAGTGTATCCTTTGGATAAATGCCTAGTAGTGCAGTGCTGTAAGTGCGTGGGGTAGTTCTATTTACCAGCCTCATACTGTTTTCAAATTGGCTGCTGTAGCTTGCATTCCCATAATTTTTTTTTAACATTTATTTTTTTTTAATTTTTTTTTAGTTTATTTATTTTGAGAGAGACAGAGTATGTGGGGGGGAGGGGGCAGAGAGGAGACACAGAATGGGAAGCAGGCTCCAGGCTCTGAGCCGTCAGCCCAGAGCCCGGCTGGCCGGGAATCAAACTCCTGAGACCCTTGAGAAATGTCATTGTGACCCTATTGAGCTGAAGTCAGGGCCAGCTTAACAGAGCCCCAAGAACTGGCCCCTAACATTTATTTTTGAGAGACAGGAGGCCGGGCATGAGTGGTGGGAGGGGCAGAGAAGAGAGGAGTCTCACAGATTCCCAAAACGGGCTCCCAGGCTCTGAGCTGTCAGCACAGAGCCCAACACAGGGCTCAGGTCTTGTGACCTGAGCCAAGAGGCAGATGGGTGCTGTAACCAAACTGAGCCACTTGGGTGCCCCAATGGAGTGATGTGTTTTAAGAAGAGAAAGTAAAGAGTGAGGGAGTTACTCTATTTGGGGTGATCGGGGGAGGGGACTCTGGGACACATCCTGGCTGAAATCTGGATGCAAAGTGAGGGGCAGTGGAGTGAGACTATCTGGGAGTAAGAACATTCTAAGGCCGGGGGCATGGCAAAAAATCCAGGTTTTGAAACAGGAATGACTCAGTGTAAGGAACACAGAGAAAAGCCAGGGAGCCTGTAAGGAGGAGGAGAAGTAGCAGGACACTAGTTAGGGGTCTGTGACAATATAGCTCAAGCAAGAGGTGAAGGCCCAAGCTGATGGGGAAAGTGGTGAAATTATTAGCTGGTTTGGGACTTATTTGAAGACAGGGAAGTTGACAGGCTTTCTTTAATGGATGACAAACATAATGAGAGGAATCAAGGACAACGTTTTTGGCATGAACTATATTGGTTAGTTGGCCAGGTCGTGCCACTTATGAAAACAGGTTTGGGAGAAAAAACCAAAGAGAAGCGTCTCTTTGGGATGTTAGAGATTTGATGAGTGGCTGGTAAACATTCTACTCATATTTTTACCAAAGTTTCCTGAGAGTAAACATGTATTTTTTAAATTATTTTTTCACATTTAATATTTACTCATTTTTGAGGCAGAGGGGAGTCAGAGCATGAGTGGGAAAGGGCAGAGAGAGGAGAGACAGAATCTGAAACAGGCTCAGGCTCCGGGCTGTCA